TCACTATTATCTATTTCTTTATTTCCATTTTTTTATCTTCATAATTTACGTTTTTTTTCTTCCTCAATCCAACATTGCAACCACTATGCCAAGAACGAAAATTTGTTTGCATACTACGGGATTAAACATGGGTTATTCCTGCGGTATTTTTAGAATTAATCAAAGAGGGAAATTTTTGCTAATTCCTTTTTCTGAATCAGCCTTCATTTTTCAAATTTACTCAGCAATTTGCACGTAATAGTAATAGTAAATTGCATATCGGCAAAATTTGCGCATTTTATCTGGTATTAATATTTCGTAGGATAACCTTTGTTTTAATAACAGCTTCAATTCTTCGTCGCATACTATCTACGAACTGATTGGTCGATGTTTAACCACCTTTTCCATCTACCTCTGTTGGTAGCATTCATTCAATTGCACCATTGTTAAAATCGGTTTGCTCGCTAATCCGTTCATTGTACATCCCACATGAACTTCTCGAAAGTTCTTTTGTCATGACACGGCGATTCCTACTTTTAATATGGAATAATCCATAACTGGAGATAATCGAATCAACAAAGCTGCCTGCCACCGAGGTTCGTTGATTATTTCTTGGCGAACTCCCTTTCCAAAATATCCCATAAATGCTCAATTGGATTTAGATCTGGATTTGTGCGGGCCACAAGAGTTAATCATATTATCGTCTTTCCACGAACTTATTGTATGGCTCTATGACAAGAAGCATTATCAGACGTAGTCTTCATAAGATCTGGAGTTCAATCTTCCATCATGTTTTTCACGTCAGCATTTGTTGTACTAGTAGGAGTGGCAGTTATGGTTGCCGTAGTAGGTGTTATAGTTGCAACTACTAGTAGGGGAGTAAACCACGTATGTTAACTGATGATGATATCTTTTGTAGATGCCGTGCGGTAGCTCGAATAATAGTTGTTTTGCCACTTTGTCGATGTCCATGAAAAAGACAGAACTTTCCTTCAATAATAAAACTGGTCAGAAGTTTGACCACTTCTTCAGGTTCAACGAAAAAATTGACGTCGGGAAATACGCCATTGGCGGCCGTGTAGTAGCAGTTATTATTGCAGTACCACTTGTAAGAGTAATAGCTATAGTTTGGTGTCATAAATCTTTTCAGAATGTGGTTGTCAAAAAGACATGAAACGATACTCATACAAAATCCTCCATGTTTTTTGCAGTTGATGTAGACCATGATGTCTTCCCCCACCCCACAAGATAAAGACTCCGGAGTACCGCCTTGAATTATAAGAGAACCTCACGCGACTGATGACGTGTTGCACAATAATACTAATACGGAGTGTGACCAATGATAATTGATGCGCAAAACTCGCGTAATATTAAATAATCGTATACTATCAAAACAACACCAACGCAATAAATATTGTAAAAAGCAAAACATGAACAAGACTCAAATAATCATTACCATCAAACAAAAATGACATAGTCAGCTTAATATGTTAATAATACGGGAGCCTTAATCAAGCATGAAGTTACATTCCATAACAAAACTGTTGGTGGTGAGCAAACTTTACTCACCCAGAAATCGAAAAGTAGTGAAACGACCTAATACGGTTATTATACGACAAAAAAAAATAACTGCATCCAAATTTTATTTAACAAGCTGACGTTTGAAATTTACAAGTTGCTCGGAAAAAAAAGCCATTGCATTGCTGCGTCTACAATAAGACATTGTTATCTTCGAAGACAATCTCACGAAGAAAAATTATTCAATGTTGGATTGAGGAAGAAAAAAAACGTAAATTATGAAGATAAAAAAATGGAAATAAAGAAATAGATAATAGTGATAATAAATTTGTATCGGGGTGACCAAAGAATAATTAACACTCATTAACGACCTTAGTCCGTGTAGTTTGCACTTGCTTTGGTGCTTTTATTACTATCGAAAGCGCGTTCGATGATCGAAATAATAAAATTATGTTTATCAAAAAACTGGATCGTTTGACTCTTTGATTGCAATTGTGTCAAAAGAATCTAGTTTAACAAACGCGCTCGAGCAGTCTTTTATTAATATATAACAATAAGAAACGTCCTTCGTTGATATGTCGCTTTGAAGTCCTTTGTGGAAACTTTTTACGCTAAGCTGTCCCCCTTACGTGTTAATATTCGTTATTGGTCTTTATTTTAGTAAATTTCATAAGTTTTTCGGACTGGCGAGTTCGAGTATCGCTAATTTCGAAAACATAAGGTGTAATTTTTTTCCTCATTTTTTTAATATACTTCTGTAATTTTTGGTTCAGAGTAGAATTGATATAATTCATATATTTTTTATATCGAGGTTGTCTTATTAGACATCTGTGCTGACCATTGTGCACACAATCAAGTATAACTATTGCTTATAGATTTTCATTAGTGTATAAAATTAAACACGACAGCTTGATATTTTGTAACTATTCCGATCTGACATACAGCACAGAGAACAATATTGAATCTGAAATCTCATGGTGCTGAATACTTTAACATTGCCTGTGGCAAGGCAAATAAAGTAATCAATAGAGGAAATTAAAAATGTCACGGTAACTCTCTTGAACGTGCTACGAATTGATTATGGATAAATACCATGTCCTTTACTATCCGGTTCCGAAAAATGTCGCGCGCATATTACGCAAGATACATAGAAAGTTCGAGAACTCGAGCAAAACCAAATTATTTTCACATTATCAAACAGAACACTTGTATGGAGAATGTTTCCGGACGAGTAGGGAAAAGCAACAACAGAACTGATAGAGCAACTATTCGAACCATTCGCTAGATGCACATTGGACTAAACTGACGCGTGGAAAGTTAAAGTAAACAGTCTTTTTTTTTCTTTCAATACATCATGTTTTAATCAAGTACCGAATATTTACGTCTTTATCATTCTTGTTATTCGATTCACCAGAGAAGCAACCAGGGCAACCAGGGCATGCGATATTCTCCACCAGTCGCCCTGATATCTGCTCAATGAAAAAGTATTATCGTCAAATATGTGAAATAGAAATTACATCCACAATGGTGTACCACAATTAGTTTTTTTGGAAGAGATTGTTCCTAAAAAACTCGAAGAGCAAATTATAAAGGAACAATCCTCATCGATATGTCATGGTACGTTCGGATTTTCAAACATTTCAAGTTTTCTGGTAGTATTCTTATTTGCACGTTGTTCCTCCCGTTTCACACTCTAGCAACATTATGGCTATGAATTCGCTTACGGTTAACAGCGTCGGCGTAACAAGTCCACCTTCTTTCCCAAAATACGCTCACACGCTCCAACCGTTTCCTCAAATGTAGCAATTAACTTCCATTTGGTACGGAATGCCGCCTCACATACCGCATTTGGAATGTCATAGTTGTATTCAGTCTACGTGCTAGTGCTTAAATGTATGAGAACAGGAGGGCTAGAGAAGGTGGACTTACCAAGTTTCTGCAATGGTGTTTGAAAGAGTAGGTACGAACAATGGAAAAGGGTGAAAGATTGTATGAATAATTTATTAACCACTTACTTTCCATCGTTGATAGAGCGCGTAAAAGTGATTTACTGGATGAGAGTACGGGACGAGAGAATATCGTTGACATTAAGAACTGTCAACGAAACAAAACAATGTAACCGCTCATATCAATAATTCTGTAACCAAAAATAATTTATTCGCGCAAAATTAGGTTTGCCCGCTATGAAATTCATCTCTTAGGATTGCATCATTATTTTCAACTAAATTGTTGTTCTGCTCACTTTTAGTTTCGCAATAAATGCCAATGTAAATATTCATCTCCAAGACGAAGCCTAAACAAAAAAAACAAAAAAAAAAAGGAAAGAAAGCGATTCGACAGTCTTAAAGTCCCTTCATTCACGAGTCGTCTTTATTTCCATCACCTCGCTTCTTGTTTTTATCATTGACTCCCAATTGCTCCATCAGATTAAGATAATCATCTACTTCTATCTTATCGTTTTTCGATTTTGCTTTATCTTCCTCAGTATTACTTTCTGATATTTCAGGAAACAGCCCATCAGGACCAAATAACGCTGTATTGCTCGATTGATCGCTTTCGGGTTCCTTCATAGTGTTCGGAGGCTTAGAAATTCTCATTGGACCAATGCCGATATATTCACCATGAGACAGTTGTTTAATCTTCTTCAGTAGTTGCGTTTGAACATCAGGATCCTCTTTTGGTTTTGCATCTTCATCAAGGAAACCTTTAGTAAATCGCGTACTACCCAGATATCCTAAGGTATTCTGTCGAACCATGGTTGGCAATTGAGAAAGTCTCACTACTATCCTTCCATTTTCATTAAATCCAGCTTGCTCAACGTAAAACTTATCCACTTTATCCCGTTCAATTATACCAACGCGAAGGCATTTTTGGGAAGGCAAATGTGCAACAATGCCAGATATACCCACTGCATATCCGAAAAGTTCCTTGTTTAATAGCCGACCCTGGACGAGAACGTTTGTTCCCGGGTTATTGTGGGAGTAAGTTAAGCCAACGACCGAGGGAGGAGATTTCTCGTTTATGGCGTTCATAAACTGGAGCCAATCTTCAGGGGAATACGTGTCTTTCTTCTCTTGCCTCCATTCATGTTTTCTTTTTTCTGCTTCTTTCAAGAACTTTTCAAATTGTTTCGCTGACATCAAACTTATGTTCCTCAAGGCTTTATCTTTCGGGGGAGAGGGGAAATTTGACCACGGAAAATTCTCTTTCCATTTTCTAGTAAATCGCACGAGTCTTTGGGCAGAGCGGAATGGCGTTTGATGCTCAGAAGTGTCGAGAGCTTGTACAGTGATCACATTAGTACGGAGGATTTTCGGAAGGTTACGTTTCAAGCCCCAGTCGCCTTGTTTTTTGAAAGAGCCATAAGTCGTATAAACTTGTGGTAGAGTCGGATCATAAGTTGCAAGGCGGGATTGACGGAAAAGTTGAGAAAAGGAGCGTTCTGATAATTGGGCGGACATCAGTGGAAAGTGCCCTATCACGCAAATACAATCAACTCCATAATACACACCGTGATTTCATCATCGTTCATTGAATATCTACAATAAAAAAAAAATATGCGTGATTTGTTACTGTGACACAACTATATTCCGGCCAATGAAAGTCCAGCACACGATAGCGTAAAAAAGTGTCCGTTATAGAATTAAATAATTGGGTTCGATCAATCTACCATCAACGAAAACCTTTTGTTATATGAAATCGCAGACTTAAGCAAGTTGCGCAGAAGCGTTCAAGAAGACACAAACTTGTAAAAATTGTATGGTGTACGCCAGAATAAATAAATTATCAAATATTCAATTTGATAAATTACCTCCGCCGCAATTCGTATTAATTGTTTGCGGCCGCGCCTTCAATGTAAATGGACACGTGCCTCAATCTTTTTTCAGCTCTCCGTTTCAGAAAGCAAAATTTACAGTCACACATTCACACGTAAGTATTACTCTAAGATTTACAACCGAACGAATCGCATTTGTGGAGAAACCACGGTCACAATGTTGTGCGTATTTGGTGAATGTGAATTCGTTTTCTTTTATACACAGATACTGGCACATTCTTATAGCAAAGCAATAGGTCTAAAATGTCACTAAAAAATAATCTGAATTTGCATTATGTGTCACACTATTATAAATTAAGCGTTGATTTTCCAGCCACATCAGCCTCTTTTAGCTCACATAATCAATGTTCACTTTGTTGCGATATGCCCCAATTATAGTCGACCAAGGCACTCTATGACAAAGTCACAGAGGTATTACGATATCTGCTTCATGAATTCTAAACAAAACTATTCGGGAGGTGGTATGTCAGGAACAACCGGAATCACAAATCCTTTATATCTGCTTGGAACAGCAGCCAGACTGGTGGGATATCTACTTTCTAAATCTTGCTTCTTAAATTCTGCAAATACCCAGAATGCTTCTTCTTCTTTCTTCATTAGGGCTTGGATCTATACAAAAGGTGGGGAGTTTAGTGTATTCGAAATACATTCACATAAATCTGTAATATTATATTAATATATACCTCACTCAATGGCCGTGCTTCTACAACTGGTGTAACTGTTGTTTGTACATCAGATCTGTGCGAATAAAAACACAAGTCTTTTAATTTCTCGTTAAAATGGCATTTACAAACATCATTGATACTGTATTACCGTTGAGCAATTGGGGTGCCGTAGTTTACTGCATATTGTTGTGGCTGTGGCAGCGGTAGTTGTGGTTGTGGTTGTTGTTGTTGTTGTGGGTCTTGTTGTGGTTGCTGCTGTTGTTGCTGT